AAAGGCAACATATGTAACCTAAACATTTGTGCCCTTGTAATATTCTGTAATGATATATATTTTTTTAAGAGAAATTCACCTGAAGAAAAGAAAAAAAAAAGAAAAATAACACTAGTGAAAGACCTCAAGAATATTTTTATCGTACATATCTGTTATGTCTAGCTCCATCCAAGGCATTTAGGGAATACAAGAGTGGAATAATCAAATGATGATTTATGGTAATATTTCAAAGCCTAATAAAGGGTAATATAATCATAAATTGATTTAGATGGAGTGCAAACCTATTTATAGGTAAAAATAGAGTAAAAGTCTCAAGGCATTTCCAAAGCACCACAAGGCACACGTTGCTGCTCTAGATGGAAAAAATACTTTAGGTTCCTGGTCTTATAAATGATAGATTTATAAGATGATATATCCAAAAAATATATTGAAAAAATCACTTTGTGACTAAGTACCAAAACCAAACAGTGCAGATTTAAATTCTCAGGATTTATTCACTATGGCACTCTAAATATATGATAAATTTTAGCTTTCTCAGAACACAATATTTTAAGTATTTTCCTAAAAGTCCTAATCATTTCTAATGTATGTTATTTCAAGGCTTACACAATTCTCGTATATTATATTAGAATGGTAATACTTCAACTTGAACTTCTTCTATAATTTAGAGTGAAGACTTACCTCAAACTTTGTCTCTGTCCCCAATATTTATACTGAAAAAGGGCAATGCTGATGTGTATATCCCTACCTAAATTTAGAGCCAAATGTAATTGGATTTTGAATTACTTAAATTATCTTAGCTTCAGATATTTTATTTGTAAAATAAAGATAATAATTCCTTCAATAATAATTTTGTAAATAAAATATATGAAAATATACTGCAAATTAAGAAGGGATCACATAAATATTAGTCATTTTTTATCATATTGATTCTATTAACTCACGTTTTCCTTCATGTTATTTACATTGAGTCTAAATATAAATAAATAAACAAAAGTTCACACATTCCCAAGGGTTTATGTTGTATTAAAAGCTTTTACCAGAGTCCCTTATAAGTCATCTTAAATGTCATGGATTAAAGATAGTTTTATTTTATCTCAGCAAAATGCCTTCAACCATAACCATTTTATTAATATTTAATGCCTAGAAATCAGCAGTCATTGAGTTGAATAAATGAAGTACTTCTTAAAGCTATATTGTAAAAAAGTAAATTTTTCAACATTTTTGTCTTATACCTCCTAGAGTAGATCTCTTTTCTGAAAGTCAGCTTAACTGTCTAAATGAGAGCCTGGGGATTTTCCATAATTCTTCAAACACCATTCCTTTCACTATCCAATGTGCATTTGTCCAAATGACATGTCTATTCTTATCTTACATTAGTTCATCCTTGTATATTTGCCTTTATAAATATTTTGTATATTTTTCTTTTCTTTCCTTATCGAAATCTCATTTACTTTACTAATGAAATTTTTTTATGCAGAAATTTGTGACATGTTGCTCTCAGTCCTTCACACCATTTCTGTTTCCTTTTTTGTCACATTTTGGCAATGTTTTTGGCATCAATAAGTGTATTAGTTAGTTATAGCTGCATAACAAACTATTCCAAAATTCAGTGGCTTAAAATAATAATCATCTATCATTAAAGCTTACACCCCTGTGGGTTGGCCAGAAATTGGCTGACCTAGGCTTAGCTCAGCTGGGATTCTCTGCTGATCACAGGTAGCCTTGCTCACACATCTACAGGTCACCTGGGGATCAGGTGATCTAGGCTTGGCTTGCTCATGCATCTAAGGATCAAATAAGGGCTCTGTTTTAAGCTGGGTTTGGCTGACACAACTTGGCAAGGGCGGCTCTAGTCCATGTATCTCTTATTCTCATTCTGGAACCAGCAAGCTAACCCAGCTATTTCTTATCATGGTGGGAGGTACAAGAGGATAGGCAGAAACATATATGGTGCATTGAGAGGCAGGCACAGAACTCACACACTCTCATCTCTGCTTCATTCTACTGGCCTGCACAAATGATATACCAAGCCCCAAGTTAAGCTGCAGAGAGAGACACTCCTCCCATAGTTACAGAATACTGACAGTTACATGGCAAAGTGTCTGAGTACCAGGAGGGGTAAAGAATTGGGGCCAGTAAAACAATCCAGCATGATAAGATCCCAGCAGATGTCAAAACAGCAGCATTTGACCCTTCCAGGACTTCAAAATAGTTAGCCTTTTGTTCCCAGTGGCCATTTTGTAATGCAAGGTGGGAACAGGAAGAACAGCTGCAAGCAATTTGTAGGATTTCATGGCCAGAATAACACCTCTCCACATGACAGACAGAATATTTACAGCAGAGATTATGGTACCACACATAGTCTTTTTCATAATAATAACATTATTTAGGAAAAAAATTTGGTTCTCAAGATCAAGTTCAAATGCTCATGGCTCACTTTCACTGAGTCAGCTGTAGGTGACATTTAAGAGAAAGTATCTTCTGGATGACAATTCATTTAGCTGGCAAAGTTAGGATAGTTACATTTGACTCTATTTCTGAGTGAGCCCAGATATTAATATTAGATGTAGCATTTAGACAATCTTAATTAGCATCACAAAACTCACTTTTATCAATACTGATGTTACTCTTTACATGTCTGCTCCCTCTTTTTACAGATCTATAACTTATATCCTCAGTAAATAAATATGGAGCCCTGTAGTGTTTAAGCAACCAGCATCATGATGGAAATGAGTGCTTAGAAGTATTAAACAATAAGTGTTCTAGGTAATATGGGCACTTACGACAGCACAGTTTTTTAAAATCAAGCATAAAGGTCATTTCTCCTAACAAGATTTACAATACAAAGAGGAAACGATTAAAAGGGTATTGATTGTATACATATTTTTACATATATATATATCAGATCTAAACTAACAATCATATAACTATTCAGTATAAACTTATCTATCTGCATTAAGAGACAGTAGAAAAGGAGAGAGAGAAACCCTCTACGTAATTTCCCAAAATGTATAGATGTGATATGTCTGTCAGTCTCTCAAAGGGAAGTTTGACAGTGACACTCCTCTCAGAGCCACGTTAAGTATCTGAAAGAGCCTGCCAAGGGTGGCGATCTTTGGCAGGGCAGCCCTCCATATTCCTCACCCAGGAAAGGCAAGGCGACTCCTTACCCATCAGCTAAAGCAAACTGTGGCTTCCAGCCTAGAGTCTTTCAAACCTATTCATCTTTTCCCCTTTAGCTCTTACCTTCAAGCTGTGGTTCTCAAGGTGGAGCAGCAGCAGCAGCATCACCTGGGAACTTGTTAAAAATGCAAAGTCTTGGGCCCCACCTCAGTCCTGCTGAATTAGGAACTCTGGAGGTAGAGTGCAGCAATCTACCTTTTCACAAACTCTCCAGTAATTCTGATGCAACTAATGTTTGAACCCTGCCTTCAAGCATGCAGGTCCAACAAATAAGATATTTTTAAGAAGCAAGGAGGGAAATGTAAGTAAACCATTGCTCCTCCTTCCAAGCAAGCCTGAAACCAGTCCACTCAAATGAATGTTTGGAAAAGTTTCTATTACTGAGTGATTTTGTTGCTGAAAATTATTTTTATCACCTAGAAAAATCAGTTCAAAAAGCTTACAGTTGAAGAGTTTCATCGGGTTTTGAACCACTTTGTTAAAAATATAAAAATGCACTATCTCTCCCTTAGTTTCAATGAAAAGCTGATTGACATCTGGGAAGACAGAAATGTACTAACCAAATTTCAACCACAATAAAAGGACTGAATGGGACTGAAAAGTAAGCATTGTATTTAGTAAATGCAGCCAACGAAACTTCCTCCCTGTTGAACTATGTATGAAGTATTTTTTTTTCAGCCATTACAGTTAACTTAGTACTAGGTCTTTGAAAGTCTGTCTCACAAAGGTTTACACCAAGATTTTCTGTAATAAGCATTTTCCATCACATGATTCACCTCCAAAAATATTATTGCTAAAATTTTGTAATGAGATCAAATGGGTTTTATATTCTTAATAAATTGAATTCACTTTAAATATGTATTTTATCTATATATGACCCTTGAAATGTATATTTTGTCTATGTGTTATAACATGCATAATAGAGTAGTACATATATCTATTTTAAAACAAACATGCAAATATTAGTGCTCAATATGTGTGCTCAAAAATCTTTTATTGACAGAGTGTACAATGAAAACAGTTGGAGCCTATTTTGCGATTTATCCATCACATTACCACCTACACCTATATTGAGCCTATTTTTAAAAAAAAGGTACAGCTATGATAGACCTAAAAATTCAGAAGTCATTTTAGTTCTTTGTCATTAGAAGGGTCTTTGAACTCCATCAGAAAACAAAAGTAATAAAAAGTATATTCTCTGGAAAGGGAATTTTCCCTTCTTGGCATAAGAAAGAAAACTAGCAAAATATTTTTGTTAAAAAATTTCCCAAAGTAGCATCAAGAGTTTTTAAAATCGTGATATTCTCAGGCCCCATAATTCTTAAGAAGCTCTTAACTTCTGAGCTTCTATTACAAAGAGGTCATTTGAAATGGAGGAAAAACTCTATGTACAAAGACCTTTGTTTCCACATTACTTTTAATGAATTTTTCAAAAAACTAGGAGAAAATAAAGTGAAGAATATGAAATTTTTCAAGATTAAGAGAATACATGGTCTCCACTAGATGAAATAATGCAGATATAATGATGTTTTTATAGTTATAATAAAGGAAACGGCTGAACAGTGACTTTATCCTTGAAAAGAGTAGGATATAAATTGAAGACAACAATGTTTAGGAAGAAAAGACAGAAATATGTATGCGTTTTAAAGGTGGTTCCCTTTAGAATATTTCTTTTTTTTTTTCTTCTTTTTCTTTTTCCATTCGGTGAGCATGTCCTGCTGCTATAAGAGCGAAAAGGAAATGCATGTGGCCCACGTTGTTCACGTCCTTCTCGTTGTCCTGGAGACGCCGCTGTGTTTCTCAGGCCCCAGGCCCGCCCACTCCCCGAGCGCCAGCGCCGCAAGCCTGGCCGGGTCGCACACACGGCTGGGGCGCCTCCCCTTGGCTCCCGCGTGGATCTGCCCTTCCCCGGCTATGGCTCCAGCGTTGAGCCGCTCTACCGCGGACCACACTCCTAATGCGCAGCCATAGCACAGCCTCCGCCTCCGCCTGCCAAGTACAGGTAACGAACATCTATGCCGAGGGTTCACACGCCCGGTACCCTCCCCAACAGGTACCCTCCGCTTTCACCTGACGTTTTGATGCAGCCCTTATGAGATGCTACTTGCCATTTCAACCCCAAGGATGATTTGCTCGGCTGCCTTGATGTGGGCTAAAAACAAATCATGAAACTGCCAGCTTGTTTTTATTACCAAGACAGACTTCAGAAGGAGATCGTCAGCCACCCACACGCACCCCTCAACTGCGGAATGAATAAATTGGCTGTGGATGCATGTGCTGTTTACATAATGGAATACCACATAGCAAAGGGAATAAACAACTGTCAGGTAACAACACGGAAGAGTCTTACAGGCACAGCGCTAAATGTATAAAGTCAGACCCCAGGCCGGGCGCAATGGCACACACCTGTAATCCTAGCACTCTGGGAGGCTGAGGCGGGCGGATGCTCAAGGTCAGGAGTTCGAAACCAGCCTGAGCAAGAGCGAGACATCGGCTCTACTATAAATAGAAAGAAATTAATTGGCCAACCAATATATATAGAAAAAATTAGCCGGGCATCGTAGCGCATGCCTGTAGTCCCAGCTAGGAGGATTGCTTGAGCCCAGGAGTTTGAGGTTGCTGTGAGCTAGGCTGACGCCATGGCACTATAGCCGGGCAACAAAGCGAGACTCTGTCTCAAACATAAATAAATAAAGTCAGACCCCAGACTACATTACATATGATTCCGTTTACGTCAATCTTAAAAACTGGCAGTGCTAATATATGCTACTAGGATATTAGGCTAGCGAGGTGGAGGAGAAAGAGGGGGACTTCTGGGATGCAAGTAAGTTTTGCCTCTTGATCTTGGTGCTATGTTACCTCTCTAGAAATTCACTAAGGTGTCCATTTAGGATTTGAGCACACAATTATCAAATTACCTACATTTTTTACTTTTTTATCTTAAAAGCATGACTGTTTTAAGCTGCCCTAACTTACCATGCTTGGCCCTACAAAATAGAAACATGCTTGTATCTGTTGAACTGACTCCTGTATTGCTGGTTTGACCTACTCTTGGTAGCCCTGGCTCCCGCTTCACTACCTGTTCATCTGTTTTTATCACCATTCCCTCCTTTCGTATTTCACCATGATGTTGTTTTCCCGGTTCAAACCCTTTGTTTCTGTAGAAAACTCTGACTATCCTTTCCATTTAGAACAGGACTCTCCCAAATTATATAGTATTCAGGGGCCTCTTTTTGTACCCCATGGGCAATGGTCCTGTCTAGCTTGTTCTTAAGGGATGTATTTCAGGTCCTTAAATGTTTGCATAAATTAGTTCAATCCTAAAATATCATGGGTAAATCATTCCTCTACCATTGTGAAACCTTATACAATGGGTAATTATTATGGATATGGCTAAAAAGTTGATGAGTAAGCAGTGGTCCTTTCCTCACTACCTGTGAGTGTACCCCAAAGATGTTCTGACCCCAGAGCTATCCAGTCTTGGCTTAAGAAAGAATTGCATACATACCAAGTATTTGAGAATGGAAGTTCAATCTTTAAAATGGTGCACACATAAATACAATTTGATTAACCAATTCACTTTAAATATGCTATATTTAGGATTTTTTAATGGAGCAATGTTAAATTGTGTTTACCTAACCATATCTGGATTGTTCAGTGACTCATTCTCATTCTTTTGTATTTCTTAGGCCAAAGTTAGGTCCCATTTCTCAGTTCCCCAGCATACAACACTTTTTACAGTATTCACCTCACCTGGAATCATTTGCTTAAAATCTGCTCCACTACACTCTAAGAACTGAGAGTCTAGGGGAGTGTTTTCTTTGCCACTGACACTATAGCCATACCCAGACCCACCACATTATAGGCACTAAATAAATATTTTCTGAGTGGATGAAAAAATAGTGTAGTATAAGCACAGCATATGATATTATTTAAAGTCTGATTCTAACCAATTGCTTATTATTGAGCAGATCACTAACCTCTCTGAGCCTCAATAGTCCCATCAATAAAACCAGGAGGAGTGTACCTGTTCTGCTTACCCCATGAGAGGGCTCATGATGACCACATAAGAAAATACATGTGGAAACAAAACATTTATAGATATCATTATATCAACATGTTTTCTAAGGACTGTGTCTGTCGGGACATCTTGGTTTGCCTTAATGCATTGTGAACTGTGAAAATTTAAGGAAGAGGAAAAATTGTTTGCATTCCAAAAAAGTTTCATTCCAAAACTGCCTCTCCATCCTTTTTATCCTGTACTTTTCTCCCATAGTATTTATTACTATTGGGCATAGAATATGTAATTATTAATATTTGTTTGTTCGTTTATGGTCTGTTTCCACCACCTAGAATGTTAGCTCCTTAACATGTTAGGGGAGGAATTGTTGGAGGAATGTTAGGGGAGGAATTTTGTTAGATTCTCAGCAGTACCCCTAGTGCCAGCAACAGTGCCTGGCTACATAGTGTGTTGTCTGTGGATATTTGTTGAATGAATGAATAGAAATTAGAGAAGACCCTGAGTAACCTGAAAGATCAGCAATCAAGTACCTGAAATGTTTCCTTGGTTGTTGCTGTTACATTTGTAGACTGTTACAGTACTGCTGAGGCACAAGCAGATTCCTTGTTCCCAATTGGATTCTCATTTCAGTTGCTTAGGACCTTTTCAATGCTAAATCACATAAGGCATCCTCTTACTGGGAGCATGACATTCTTACAGAGAACCCAGAGCAGGTGTCTTTGCTCTTCTCTGACATTTCTCTACAATGCCTTTATAGCTCAAACTCCAGCAGGAGAGTTCATCCCTCCTCCAGGCACTCAAAACTTTAGGAGATAATTTCTCACTCTAGCTGAGTCCCAGCTGGGTGGCCAAAAAACAATACATTTGATCCACAAAAAGCAATGGATTTGGAATGTCTCCCATTACTCCCATTACTGGGAGTCAAACACAAAATCAAATTGACTAAATCCTTCTGGAATTCCACAATGCAGCAATTTCCATAAATCCCAGCTCCACCACATTTGCTGTTTTTTATGGCTGCAAAATGTAAACTTTTTAACACCTCTTCCCAATTTGTCATTTGGTCCTTCAACCCAGCTTCAAGGAGTGCCAGAGAGTTTGAAAAGGAAAGAGAATTGAGCTTCATAATATTGAAACAAAATTGCAAAATAATTAGTGGATTATTTTCCTTGTGATATAAACTTGAATAACCTATCATAGATGAATACAGTTATATGTCCTTAATTAAGCTTTATGGGCACTTTACTGCTATAGGTTTGCCATTTGTAGAATTAGGATGTTTTAATTAGAATCTAACTATGCATCAATGGGAGTTGAATGGACACTCAATATAAGCAGCATCTTTACAATTTACAGTTTCTCCTCTCCCATAGTTTGGAATTAAACCTTCCCTCCATGCTCACACCAACACACAGTGCAATTTTTTAAAAATGTTTTACTTATCCACAGTTTTTAGTACTCTAAAATAGCAACTGTTGCAGCCAAAGGAAGATTCTTTAAGTGGAAAGTGCTTTTGTCCTGACCAAAGTTATATTAAAATTGCAGCTGGCTCTCAAAAAGCTCTTCACTACTCACCACTGCTCCTTACCCACACTCCTTGTCTTTGTCTTCATCTCTCCTTCCCTAGGCCAAGGCTGGGGCTCCAGTGTTAATACACACCAGTATCGAGTGGATGTGGAGATGTGAATGAAGGCCAGCATTTCAACACACTGCCCACCATCAGAAGGATGCAAAGCACATGTGATCTCAGTGATGGATTTGCCAAATACAGCAGGTGATTCAGTTGTCACTTGGGTTGAGTTATTTGAATTAAACTCAAATCTGGATCTTTAATTGTGCTTAAAATATCTTTGAAATATTGCAATGAGCTATAACATTGAAATGAAAATTGATTTGTGCATACCATGCCATAAAAGTAGGGTTGTGGAACATAGATTCAAGAAAAGTGCAGCAAATAATAGTCACTGGAAGCACAAGTGAACTTGCATCTGTTCTCAGAAAGGATATAAAAAGCAGAAAACGTGCAAAAAATTGGTAAGTTGGACTTCATCAAAATTTAAAACTTTTTCTTCCCCAAATTCACTGATTAAAAAATAAAACAGCAAGCCATAAGACAAAGACTGTATTTGCAATATGTATTTTAACAAAGGACTTTTATCCATAATAACAAGGCAAACTTCCCAAAAGATCTGAACAGAGAAAAAAAGACGTATAAAAGGCTAATAGGAATAAGGAATATACAAATTAAAGCCACAAAAATATGCCATTAAATGTATATTAGAATGGGTAAAACTTAAAATACCAGCATTTTAGAAAATAGATGGGACAACTGGAACTTTCATATCCTGTTAGTAGGAATGTAATATTGTATAACCACTTTAGAAAACTTAAAAGTTTCTTTAAAAGTTAAACATATGCCCCAGCCATTCCACTCCTAGATATTTATCCATAAGAAATGAGAATATCCGTCCACATAAGCATGTGTGTGAATATTAGAGTACCTTTATTCAAAAAGCCCAAAACTTAGTGTGTTAGTTTCCTAGGGCTGCCATAACAAATTTCCACCAACTGGGTGGCTTTAAACAACAGAATTATTTTTTTCTCACAGAGTTCAGGAGGCCAGAGATCTGAAACCGGTGTCAGAAGGTTGGCTCCTTTTGGAAGCTCTAGGAGAAAATCAACTCTATGCCTTTGTCCTAGCTTCTGGTGGTTGCTGAGCAACCCTTGGCATTCCTTGGCTTGAAGTGGCTGATCTCTGCCTCTGTCATCAGGTGACCTTCTATGTATCTCTGTGTATCTGTCTTCTTCTTATCAGAATACCAGTGACTGGGTTAAGGGCCCACTGTAATCCAGTTGATTTCATGGTAACTTAATTAATTAAACCTGCAAAAACCCTATTTACAAATTAGGTCAGATACTAAAGGTTAAGATTCCAACATCTTTTTTTGTTTTATGTTTTCATTACATTATTTTTATTTTTTTATTTTTTTTTATTTCAGCATATTGTGGGGGTACAAATGTTAAGGTTATGTATATTGCCCTTGCCCCGCCTCCCCCCTCGAGTCAGAGCTTCAAGCATGACCATCCCCCAAATGTTGCACATCTTTTTGGGGAACACAATTCAACCCACTATACTTGTCACTGTGCTGTGATAAGTGAATGAATCCATACAATGGAATTACTACCTAGCAGTAAAAAAAGAACAGACTACTGACACAAACAACAAACATGGCATTATACTAAGTGAAAAAAGCTGGACCCCAAAATGTACATACTTATGATTTCTATTTGTATAAAATTCTTTTATGTGTAAATTATTATGTAGTAGTAGACATTAGATCAGTGGTTGCCAGGGGCTGGTGGCTGAGGGAGAGAGAGATTGCAGGAAAGCATGCGGGATCTTTGGAGGAGATGGAAAAGTTCTGCATCTTGATTTTGGCGATAGTTTCATGGGTGTCTACACTGTTAGAACTCATCCCATTGTAATTTCAAATGTTTTCTTTAATTTTTATACTTCATTAGGTGTAAATTATACCTCAATATAAAAATTTATTTGGGTTGCCTTTCGAATGAAGGAGTTTAAGTTCTAGCTATGGATAATTTACTTAGGGGAGGAAAGAGTAACTGCAGATCTAATCAGGAAATGGAGTCAAAATGATCAGCATTCTTCAAATATGCTTCGGATTCATAAAATCAACCCTAAAGATGCTGGAGAGGTCAAGATAGCCAGTTTGTAAAAACAGCATGTCATCAGAATGCTATGTATGAGTGCTATCACCAAAATAATTCATAAATCTTTAGACACTGAAAATGCAGAAGGTCTAGGCTCAAACTTTGTGATCTTAAAGGATGAATAATTATGTACCACATATGAATTTCATAGTCACAAAAATTCAGTATGCAAAAGTGTAATTTTCTTTATTTTTTTAAGTGGAATTAATTTAGCTCCCGAGCTCTCATTTGCACTGATCATAGGAAATTGCTAAGAGTAAATTTCAAATGTTCTCACCACAAGAAATGTTATATACTGTATTTGAGATGATGGATATGTTAACTAGTTTGAATTAATTATTCCACATTGTATTCATGAATAACAGCCCTTTGTGCCCTATCAATTTATACAATTATAAACTGTCGATTTACATATTAAAAAAACCTTAAAGTGGCCAATGCAAGATAAGCCAGTCTCTTCCAGTGTAAAACTCTGTGTGTCATGTTGGTACCCGGATAGGGGCTCTTGCTCCATGCACTCCTCCATCTGTGCTGACCACTGCCAAGGGACAGCTTGCCTCGGCCCATCTGTTGTCATGTGCAGGTAGCCACTGCTGAGGTTGCTGGTCCCTCCGTGGCCTCTATTTTCAGAGGTCCCATGCTCTGGGTCCTTCTCATTCATACAGATCTCTACTACAGCAACTCTGTCCATGACCCTCTTTTCAAACGCCCCCTACACCTCCCCAGGAATCAGAGGACACTGTCTACCTAGAAGCCTGCCTCACTCACTGATGATCCTCTGTTCAGGGGCTCTGTTGGATAAGGAGCTTTGCCTGCGTCTGGCCATCTTCCAGGCCACACCGTGGGAAGTCTGGCAGAAGTCCCATCTGTGTAAGGACTTCCCTAAACCTATCTTGAGTATTCACTGCCCAGTCAGCCCCCAGGGTTTCAGCTCAGGAAAAGGTCAGGGTGCTGCACATTTCTTAAAAACATACTACAAATGAGTTACATCCTTTCCAAATCTCCTTCTTGCCACTAGTTGGTCAAATTTTTAGTCCTCTTTTGAGTCATAACTAGGTTTTGGTTCATGGTATATTCTCCTCACAATGTATTATTTAGACATAAACTGTATGGTTTCTTTATTTAGTATTTGGCAGTTGATCTTTCAAGCCAACTTATTTAAAATTCTAATCCGGCCCTTACACTGAAGCCATCAGAAAATCATATTGGCTCTGAGACCTTCACAGTGTTCCCAGAATCAAACTACATCACACCACCGCTTCCCCTGCCCATGCTCTGGCCCAAGCCATCCACCTCCCACCTGGACTGTTGCAATCGTCTCCTGCCTGGGCTCCCCACTTCGTCCCTTGTTCTCATGAAGTCTGTGTCCCACACAGAAGCTGGAGCAATCTGCCTAAAATACAAGTCAGATTCTGACACTCTGCTCAAAGCTAGCAATTGCTCTTTATTGCATGCAATAAAGGTGATGGCAAAGCCCCACATAATCAGACCCCTCCACCCCAGTGAACTCTGGCTTCCTCAACTCAGCTCCAGCCACACTGACCTTCTTGGTGCTCCTTCCCCATGCCAGGCATGCATGCACCTCCTGGCCTTTGCTCCGACTGTTCTCTTTTCCTGGAATGTTCTGCTCCCTAAATCCTACCTGGATAACTCCCTCACTACCTTCCCATCTTTGCTCAGCTCCCACTTCCTCCATGCTCTGGACACCCTGGGTAATGCCACAACCTGCCCCCACAATGCTGCTCACCCCCTTTTCCTTTTTATCCTGATATTTATCCCTTGCTCTCTCAAGTAGGTTCCTTGGGCAGCAGATTCTGGGATGGAGATTAGTGAGCAGGATGCTCTTCAGGGAGTGCATGAGACCAGCACTGCTGGGAGCGAGCGAGGGCAGGGAAGCCTGGCGGGACACGGGGAGAGGGAGAAGCTGAACGGGAAGCTGCCCACGGAAGGTCTCAGCAGGCGGCACAGGGAGGTCTGGAGCCGTGACACTCGGAGTGGGGTGACAGGCGTGGGCTTTCACATGCCTGGATGCGGGCTGTCCCTAAAAGCAAATGTGACCTCGGCTGAGGTAGTTTTCTTTAGCCAAGGCGATCCCAAAAGAGGGCAGACAGTGAAGGCTGACTGGAATCAGTGGCCGGGTGAAAGAACGGGGCTTCATGAAGAGGATTTGGGCGGCACAGCACAGCACCCACCACGCCTCTGGCCTGCTGGCTTGTTCGTTGGGTTCGTGTCCTCCTCTCCCTGCTACGATATAATCTCCATAAGGGGTTGGCTCTTTTGCTTACTGATATTTACAGTTCATGGCACATAGTACTCAAGAAATAGTTGTAAACAAATTCCAAAATCACTTTACCGAGGGCCCAGCTGCCTCTTCCATTGGAAAGTTGTATCTTTCCTGCACATTGTCTCTGGAGAGTATAAATTTAGAAAGGTCTATTTAATTGTTCAAAAAACAAGAGTTTGAACCATTGTTGCTTCCAGGAGTTTGGGATTATGTTTCCTTCCCTAGGACCAATAAGGGTTCATTTTGGTCTATTTTTAGTGGTGGAAGGACTTCTAGATTTAGGGGGAAAAATGAAAGTCATTACCAGAAAGTAAAATGAAACATGAAGTAATATATTAAAATAATATGCTACCATAAAAGAGCAAAGAAAAAAATAAGAAAAATGTAATCATGTGGATAAACATGCCATTATCCAGTCTCAATATTTAATGTACTATTTTTCCCTCTCCCCTCAAAGTTTTATTAAGTAAATGGTACAATAGATGGTTATTTAAAGAGAAGAAATACAAAGCAATACTACCTTTGGAGGTTCTCAAAGCGTATTATATTTCAAAGGTTCTGAAAGGCCTTGAAGTAAAGAAACCCGATTAACCTTATTTAATCTGTTTGACTCAGTTTCCCCATTCTCCTATCCACAGGGATATTATCTCTCCTTTTCTCCTTTTCTCTCTTACCATTACATAGGATATAGTTTTATGGCATTTTTTCTCTCAAAGTCATATTAGATATTTCTAAATTAATGGAGAAATATTAGGAGCTCTGTAGTCTAATTATGTGGTGTTAGTTATTATATAACACCTCAGAGAACCGATGATCATTATTAAATATGGGTTGGTATCTATTAATGAAGTTTGCTAAGATCAGCCAACAAGTGCTGTTTATTATGATTAGTGTGGCCGACACCGTTGCCTACCCCGTGTTCTGTCCTGTCTTCTTCTTTGCCAGCAGAGCTCTGATTCTGCTGTTGGGGAAATTGGCCCAGTTGAATACTCACTTGCTCCATGTGACATACAGCCTGGAGTGGTGGCCACATGACACAGATCGTGAGTCTATAGGGAGTTCTAGGGAAATCTTTTGCTTTGCTGATTCTAATAAAGAAAAACTTAAGTTCCTTTAATTTATGGGTATAGTGGAAATAGTTCAACAAATGTGACTTGAGAAAAACCTATGTTCTCGGATGTAGATTCTAGTGTACCATACTCTGTATAATATAAACTAGTGCTCAGAGATGGAAAACCATGTAAATTGTGTGGCCTTCCTGTCCCTGTTTTTGTACAAGATGGCTTATTCTCCTTATTTCTTTCCTGAAATGTTAAATTTCTAGTTTAAATTCTAGTTCAAGTACTATCTCATATTGGAGATTCACAAAAATCAAGCCTAAAGAAAGCTCTGAATAGCATAAACAAAGGCTGTTCATTTCAACAGTGTGACAACTCTTGCAAATAGTTTTCTTCCTGGTTACAAATATATGTTTACCATGAAAGAAAATTTTAAAAATTGACTTTGGCCTAAAATAATGATCATTCTTCCGTAGCAAAGGCTCAGTGAAAGACTGAGGAAATCTGGGCCAGATCCTTTAGACAGGACATAGATATCCTTAAATACACATCAGAATCCATTCTAATATTTTGTTCTGTGCATTCTGTATTCAACTTCTGCCTCACTTTCCTGCACTCTCATGTTTACTCTCTTCCCATCAGATTTCTTAAGAATGGAATACCTTTGTATCACAGGGTATTGATGAGTTAAGTCACCTTATTATAATTCTCTTTTCCTGGGATTGAAGAACGTGTGTGAAATGGCTGAAATTCATGGCAAAAATCGCAGTCCAACCACTGATGGACTGAAATGACTTCCTGTGTCCCAGAAACCTCTCAGGGGATCTGAGTAATGGGCAGTCAAGTCAATGAGAAGCAAAGTCCTGCATATACAACACTAATTGGATCTACTTAACCTTATTGTGTGCCCATGGTCCAGAAAGTCTTTTCCCAAATTACCACTGGAAACTTTATACAAAATACTTTTACATTATTGAGCTTACCTTGCTTTAAAAGTATTGCCTATACTAGATTGAAATCTAGTATGCAATCTCCCAAGCCCCCAGTGGGCTCTTGCTCTAAACAGGCTACTCAATTTCAATTAAAAAAAAAAAAAAGCCAACCATGAGGCTGCAGATCAGAGTCACACTTTACACGTACACAAAGAAATAATAGATTTATATGAAGACTTACTTGTTACAAGTCCTATTTTACTTTTATGAGTAAAAACCTAAGTTTTTTGGAGCCACTGGAATCTCAGATTTCACAATCCTGTCTTTCCCCATTAGTTCCACTTACCAGGCGGTAAGATTGTGTCCCCACTAAAATGGACTATCTGAGTCCCTCCCCCAAGACTTTTTCAATATTTTTTAGATGAATGTTGGGATTATATAAATTTCACTTTATTTAACTACATAATGGCTTTTTCATAGCTGGCTTTTGCTAAAGTATAGAAGAAGCTGTACTCTCCTCAGTGTAAAAATGACAGAAATGATTTTACAGAGTGTAGAAATACTGACATTAATTTATTATGTGGCTAACATGACATATGGCTAACTTATTGTCATCTTCATATTATTAAACAGATCAATCAAATTTGCCAGTTGAACATCAATAATAATCTATTATGCCTCAAATATTTATCTACTTATTTAAAAATCTTGTCACATTCTGTGAAGAAAATTTGTCACATTCTGAAGAAAATTTGCTTTAATATCAATCCTGTCATTAACAGACACCCAGAAATTTAAATCACAGGATTTCACAAAGTACTTTGTATTTAGTATTTTATCTTAACGGCTAGACTGCACTGGGAATTTTAAGAAGAGGGTTTTCTTTATGTTCAGCAAAGAAGAATGGGCACTGTTCTCATGACATCTAGAGAGCAACTGGCCCTGAACAACTTATGGATTAACCGGTTAAGCTTGCAGTTGCTGCTCTGCCTCATTTTGTTTTGTTTTGTTTTGTTTAAGACCCAGGAAGTACTGACATCATTGTAGAAGTATAGAATTTAATTTCACCAATAAATCAAATTTGGCTCAAGCTGTTAGTAACAATGTCACATTTACAGAGTCAGGCCGAGACTAAATGACTGAATGGACTGATAACAAGGAATAAAGCTTTTCACCTCCAAGCCCTGTCTTTAATGAGGCAGCTCCGGCACAGTAGGGACCAGCTCTGCTCACATTGCTGACTAAGCCCCACCAGGGCCCAGCCCCTGGGGTCATTCTCAGAATCAGCCTCTGAGAATCCACACAGGCAGAATTACGAGGGCAGTAAGGCAGAGCGTTGGGTTTTCATAAACAAGGTCCAAAGAGCTAGATGTGGTCAGTAAAGATGGGAAAGAGCAGGAGGTAAAGGTTTTGAGGGAAAAAGAAAGCTTTAAAATGGCCACCCTGTAGCATGGCAGAAAGGGTGACCATCCCCACCCTGGAAAGCCCTACTTGGTTTCTTCTTTGACATCAAGAGGCAGTAGTAAAAGTCTAGAGAGAGGTATTACCAGGTATGATGGTTAATTGTATGTCAGCTTGGCTAAACCAAGGTACCCAAATAGTAGATCAAATATTATTCTAGACGTTTCTGTGAAGGTATATTTTAAATGAGATTAACATTAAAATCAGTAGACTCTGAGTAAAGCAGATTGTCCTCCATAATGTGGGTGGGCCTAATCCAATCAGTTGAAGGCCTTAAAAAGACAAAGACTGAATCCCCCAGCAGAAGGGGGAGTTCGGCCAGCAGAATTCAGACTTTAGCTGCAACATCAGCTCTTCTCTGGGTCTCCAGCCTGCCGACCTACCTGCAGATTTTGGACTTGCCAGCCTACACACTCACAAGAGACAGTTCCTTAAAATAAATTTCTCTCTATTTCTCTCTCTCTCTCTCTCTCTCTCTCTCTCTCTCTCTCTCTTACACACAGACCCCTCTGTTTTGTACCATTGTACTCTCTTTTTCCACCACTTCCAAACTCCTAAAATATTTATCCTAATTTATGTCCCCTTTCTTTGAAAGTAAGTGGTGTCTCCAATGCCGATCCTTGCTGTTAATTAAGTTCATATCCACCTCCTATTCAGTCCTTCAGCGGCTTGATTTAAAAATTGTTTCCTCTTCTGCTTTAATATCACATCTTTAACTTCTCTACTGGTTGTTTTCTTTGAATATACACTCATGGTCAAGTTTCTTTCATCCTAAAAAAATCCTTACTTCAGTCCCGCCTAAACCATAAGTTAACACCACATCTCTATTTCCCTTTCCAATCAAATTTCCTTCCTAACTTCCAATATTTACTCTATTCACCACTCTGTGGAAAATGCTCTTAATAAGCATAATGACAACTAACAGTTTAAAATGCCTTTTATGGACCAAAATCATAGTGATGATCACTTCTATAAAAGTGATTGTTTTTAATTATACCTTGTGAAGCAGACATTATCATGAACTCATAATTATCATGATAATTCATAAAAGAAAATTAGGGCTCAAAGACATTAAGTAACTTCTTCAAGGTGGCACAGCTACAAAGTTTTTAACCAAAGTGGATCTGACTTCTTTTAAGTTCTAGTTCTACTTGCTGTCCTGCTTACCTACAGGCGGACCCTGCTCTCTACCTTCTCTCTGTTGGTGACCCATAATTGTTGCCTTAAGAGCAGATCTACTAGCTGAACAGCTTTGGGGACTCTGCTTTTAAATTGCCACGCTGCCAGTGGGCTGCCTGTAAGGCACAGGCGTGTTGCCACCACAGAAGCGTGTTTTGCGGGAGGGAAGCTGTCTGCACCTGCTGTGTCCAGCCAGGCTCTGAGTCACGCCATGAGTCCCCAGTAGAAAGAAAGGGAAGCAGAGGGGCAAATGTGTAGGGAATGCAGAAAGAGACCCTGCAGGGAATGCAGAGTGAGAAACCAAGCCCAAGAAAGAAGAGAAGCAAAGCCACAAGAAGAAAAAGGCAACCCCGAATACTATCCTAAGAATTTAGTTTCGTGAAGGGAGTATGTGACCCGCTAACCACACTTAGTAGGAAGCTGGCTCACCCCCAGAACAGGCTGTTGGGTACCAACAGTAGTTCCAGCACCGTGTGAAGAATGTTTCTCTCACACACAGCTGCAGTGGTAATAGCACCCACCCTTCTAAACTTTCCCTAAGGCCATCATCTGAGATGGACTGATTCTCATGAATGCTCTCAATTCTGAAAAATACCTGGTTATTCCCACCAATAACATGTTTTTCTTTTAACAGATGACTCTATGCTCAAAGGAGTAATTACAATGAGACCCTCAGGCATCTTTTTTTTTTTCAATTGAAACTCAAAATTTATTTTACAGGCAGACTTTTTCTTTCATATAAAGTAGACATACACGTGAACCAGTGGACTGAAACTGGTCATATTAATGAGAAAACAAACTAATTTCATTAGCCTCTGCTACTGCAAAGTGTATCTTTTTACGAATTTAGGAACCATACTGGGTGAGTATTACTGTATCCAAGGCAGAATATCAAGTAAGTCAATTAGTCCTGGGCTGAAGGTTTTGCAGCTCATCGTGAGTTATATTTTTCATTCTTTAAACTGGAGAGCTGACATTTGAGCTTGTATGTTTTTGTTTTATTTTTTTTCTTTTCACTTTTATAGACACTCTAGTCTTTTGTAAGTTTCCTTTCCATGTCTCATTTTAACAAGGAACATTTAAAACCTAAATTAATTATTCTGCTTAGCATCTTGAAAAAATAACTTTTAAAAAGATTTTATCTGACAGACACCTTTCACTTAGAAATGATGGTGAATATGGTCTGATTCGTTGTCCACAGAGACAGTCCTCTGCTCTGGAATGAGGGTGAAGATGGAACAACAATGGATCAAGCCTTTATGAAAAATTAGACAAAAGGTTCAGTGTCCAGGCAGGGATAGTGGACAACATGAAGGTACATAAAAATGACCTGAAAGGGGGACTGCTTGGAGAGACTTTCCTTCTGGGCATTACTAACTGAATTCGAAGAAAATCCAACCACACTTAGTTTTCTAAATTCTATCGAAATGAGAGTGATCATAAAAAAGCCTGAGATTAATAAGAGGCAGGCCGCTGAGGAACACTGAGAAACAAAAGCTAAGGTGGTTTGGCATTAAAATAGGTTTACATTCCAAAGAATAAATGTAACCAAAATGTAAAAAAAACAACAACAACTTTTTATCAGGCGGTGGGCAAGCGGAAGCGGGGAGGAGGAGAGGGGTATATGCTTCCATAACGTGTGTGATGCACACCACCAGGGGATTGGACACATCGGGGGGAGGGAGGGGCGGCAGGGGCAATATTTGTAACCCTAACAATATTTGTACCTCCATAATATGATGAAATAAAAGAAAAAATTTAAAAAAATCAAACCATAAAAAAGAATATTGACTATCATCTGGAAGTAATTCTCAAAATTACAATTTTGCTGACCAGTGACAGGATACTGGGGGGAACATCAAATCAAGCTGATTAGATAGTTGTCTTCTTTCCTTAGAGATAAGGCCTGATAAAGGGTATGACCCAAGCATTCCCTGATTCCACATTAGATCCATTATCCATGGTCTTAGGGGCACTTTATTGATTCCATTTGCATTTCCACATTTCCCCTAGAATCCAAAGTCTAATCTCCCCATGCCCTGGGAGTAGTAAGTGGAGGCACCATCACTGCAATGACTTGGCCTCTGCCATGGAAGCCACTGTGCTCCTGATCCGTAGCTTTACGGCACCCATTTCCCCCACTTATGTGAAGAGGCTGTCAATAAGCTTCTCTTAGCAAAGCAGTGTTAAGTTACGAACAGCTGGTAGCTGTTCTCTGCAGGCAGGCTCCAGTCTCATGGGCGATTAGGGGTTAAATGTGCAGCGTTGCCTATGGATGGATGCACTATAACCTGGACCTCCTGGAGACAGGATGCCTTAAGTAGAGGATGGCTCTCGTGGTGGGAATTACAGAACCTGGCAAGACAGCAGGGAGAGATATTTCAGGGCAGGCAGGCTTTCCAGCACCCAAAATAACAACCAGTGGGAGGCTGCCTACGTGGCCCCCACAGAAGGTCAAGCCACCCCTGCTCTGTCAGCACGAGCCCTTTGAATCATCTCAACACTTTTGATGTAGCCAAGCTCTCCCCACCCCACTGTCCTTCTCAGGTTTTAGAGTTATCTTTGAAACGGAGAGGCAATCAGGAATCATTTATCTTTTTATTTAGACTTGATAGTGAATGTCAAATGGGTAAGGCACAAGCTACTGGTGAACAACACCCTCCTTTGATCCACAGGACCATAGATACTCAGTGCTGGGGCAGCCATAGAGAGCTGGTAGAACTGCCAAGATTGCTTCCACAAATCCCAGTTATCTGAGGGATACCCAGTCTGTTCCTTGAACCACTGCTCCTTTTCCCTCAAAATGAGAGAGGTAAGTATGACAGTCATCCACACACAGGATTCCTCTCCCACTACTCCCTTTCTATTCCTGCCAGAGGCTCCAAGACACAGCAAGTTAGGCTAAAGATTCCCTGGATTCCCCATGGCATAGCAGCCGTGCTTCAGAGAGGTGCTGCAGCTTGTTATGAGAGATGCCACGCATGGTTCCTGGAGGGTGTATTTTCATTTAGTCTGGATGTTTGGCACGCTCCAACCATGAACAGAAGCCCAAGGTAGAAATAGATGGTGTGACTGGTTTACTGAGAGAGTGTTGAAAATGTTTAATCAATTAATGGTGATAATAAAGTGTCTTATTGGAAGATAAAATGGCAATTCCCCAAGCTGCAGCGCATTCACATCCAGCCTAACAGCTTACAGGCATTTAGGATGACTGATGGACAAACATGAGAACTATGCAAATTATGAGAGTTCCCTTTAATGTTTACATTTGTGCATATTTCTAGCTATTTTTGCAGTTAGGCAGATTAACAGCCCTGCTGATAATTTGATCTCTCTGACAGAAGTGAAAAATCATTCACTCTTCCCAGAAACATGTTCCCCATGCCCCCAGTGCAGGGATGTAATAAGCTGTCTGGTTATTACTATGCAGAAGCAGACACACACATGACCAAGCCTGGGGATTTCCAGGGCAAAATCACTACAAAAAAAGGCAGAAAAAAAATGAATGAAAGAAAAAAGTAAAAGCACAAGTAGCATATGGTGAAATAAAATTTCAAATGTTTTATTCAGATAATTAAGGACCACAAGAGTTTGTGACACGACCATAAAAGAATGTTGTAGTATTTGTTAATTCATCATCTAATTTCATTTATGAGCACAGAAGCTCCTTAAGAGAAAGAATCCTTGTCTGTTTTTATTCACTGCTGGGTCTCCAGTGTCTCAGTTTCTGTCTACTATGCAGGAACAACATAAAAAATATTTGTTGAATTGAATGAATGATTCCATTTATCATTAAACAAATATTTAATAATCAAACAATTTAGTACACAGGTTCATCCCCTCTACATTTTTCTGTTGCCTGATTATTGTGCTATTTTACTTCTACAGAATTTTTCTTTTGGGGGAATATATAAATATCTTAGCTTCTTCCCTGCCCCCCTCCATGAGTTTGGTCTTTTAAAGAAACCAAAATTTTAATATAAAAAAGGAAAAATAATAATGATTTTAAGCCTCTATTAAATAAACTGAACTATCAACATACCATATAAGAACATTTAAAATCAATCTTTGCATTAATAGTGTATTTTACAGGAGACAAATGATCTAAAAGTATTTATATAGAAGAATCACATTCTTGTCCTTACTATAGCTGCCATAAGTGTTTACATTTCATTAAACATATTGAGATATATATGTATATCTTCAAAATAAAATAAATAGGGTATTTTTTAAGGATTTTTTTATTTCAGCACATTATGGAGGTACAGATTTTAATAAATGTCCTTTTCCCCCTCCCCTCACAAGTCTGAGTATCCAGCATGACCATCCCCCAGATGGTGCAAATCTCACTCATTACATACACAATAGAGTATTTTTAAAAATTCAGTCATTTTAAAAACACTCAAATGATAATCAGATATATCATCTAATACAAATGGTTATTTGATTTAATTCATTATTTAATAACTATTTAAGAGCAACAAAGAGATACCATTACACATCTATTAGAATGGCTAAGATACAAAAAACCAACAATACCAAATGCTGATAAGGATGTGAAGCAACAGGAACTCTCTTTCAGCGCTACTGGGAATGCAAAATAATATAGCCACTTTGGAAGACAGTTTGATAGTTTTTTTATAAAGATAAGCATAGTTTTACCATATGATCTAGCAGCTGTACTACTGGATATTCACCCAATTGATTTGAAAATATGTGCACACAAAATCCTGCACACAAATGTTTATAATAGCTCTATTCACAATCTCCTAAAACTGGAAATAACTAAGATGTCTTTCAGTGGGCGAAAGGATAAACCCATAGACCCATAAAGAAAATATTATTTAGTAATAAAAATAAATTAGCTATCAACCCACAAAAAGACATACATGGGCCTTAAATGCATGTTGTTAAGTGAAATAAGCCAATCAGAAAAGGCTACACACTGTATGATTCTAACTATATGACACCCTGGCAAAGACAAAAGTAAAAAGATCAGTGGTTGGCAGAGGTTTGGAGATAAAAAGGAGGGGTTGATTATGCAAAGTATAGGTTTCTTTTAGGGAAGTGAAAATATTCTGTATGATACTGTAATTGCAGGTATATAACACTATGCATTTGTCAAAACCCATATAACTTTATAGCATAAAAAAATGATTCTTAATGTATACGAATTTTAAAAAATAATTCAGGAGGTTGAGGAAACCACAGGATAGAATGCAGAATGTAGCAAACAATCTAACTATATTACAAATGTGTGAAATAACCACATTGAAGTTGGGGAGCATGGGGAGGAAGGTGCTCCCCTCAGTAGCTTTAGAAAATAGTAGAGTCCATAAAGCTAAAGGCAAAAGGAACAGCTTATAAAGAGGATTTTTAGCTGATACAGTGATTTACAACAGGGGATACAGATTAGCAATTCTGATGCCAATATACACATACACTAGAATTAAACAATTAAGTCAATGGATGGTGACAGCCAGATTTCTCACACTTGGATTGGTAATTTACAGATAAGCAAGGGGAGGAGGCTAGAATGATTCATTTTGTAGTGGATTAGAAATGTATTTACATTTGTTTTAATATAAATACAGATAGTTACATATAGAAATATTTATAGATATGTGACTATATATATATATTTCATATGGGTTTGCATATACACGTATATTTCATTACTCTCTCAGCAGAGAATGCCTAGAAGCAATGACACCCCAGTAGCAATGAGCACACCTAGTGTCCAGATCTTGGTTTCTAACACCATTTTCCAATAAAAGGAATCAGTGCTTCTTTGAGAAATGACTGATGCTGAGGCTGGGGCATAAAATACACAAGATAAGCCTGGAGCATGTTATAAAGCCAAAAAGTAAGGAAGTGCTCAAAATTTTTTAATTAATTTACAAATTAAAAACCTATCTTGATGGGAATATATCTAAGGGACACAGGAGAAAACTAAAAGAACTCCAAATGGCCAAGCTCCAAATGACAAATGACAAAAAGATGAACAAATTTGAGCAACAAAATAAAGTTGAATTGGATTATAACCTAAAGTGTAATACAAATACCCATGAGTCCATACTGATATAAATAAATTGTTAAATGAACAGGTAAATAAATAAATATGTAAGAAGAGACAAATTTCCCTTGAAGAAGAAATCCAAATAATTTATGTAGATACACTGCACTCAAGCAGGGAGCACAGCGCCCCACTTCTGCCAGTCTTGCCTCTGACTCTCTGGCAATGTTACTCAAAGCTTCATCTTCTGCAGAAAATCGGTCTTTCACAGGTGTTCTTTTCCTACCAGAACCAGAAGTCCCTGTCTTGGGTTCTTAACAGTCTTTTAACTCTGAAAGTGATTTCACTGTTTTCAGCCATTAGTGATGGTAGCTGTCCTTTCCACTGACATTTATTTTACCTCTAGCCCCCTTCATTTATCTTCCCACATCTGTGTCTGGGTGCGGGCTGTGGCGGCGTCGCCTGGGCTGGTCCGGAGCGCGGCTTGCCAGCCGGGCGCCCGCAGGGGCGCGGGGCGCGGGGGACGACTGGGTTTGGGGTCCCCTGAGGAGTACCCGGCAGCTCC